GATAACAATCTCTCTCTCAATGTCAGCAAAACAGAAGAACTGATTATTGACCTCAGGAAGAAAGGAGGACGACACACTCCTACCTACATTAACAGAGCTGAGGTGGGGTGGGTCAAAAGTGTCAAGTTTCTAGGAGTGACAATAACCAACAATTTGTCCTGGACCTCCCATGTAGATGTGACAGTCAAGAAGTATCAACAACACCTCTTCTTCCTCAGGAGGCTTAGGAAATTCAGCATGTCCATAAGGACCCTCACCAACTTTTACAGATGCACCACAGAAAGCATTCTGTTAGGGTGGTCAACAGTCTGGTATGGCTACTGCTCTGCCTGGGACCATAAGAAACTACAGGAAGTTGTGTGCACAGCCCAGACCATCACGGAAGCCAACCTCTCATCCATCGACTCCATCTACACTTCTCGTTGCCACAGAAAGGCTGCCAATATCATCAAAGACCCTTCCCACTCCAGTAGTACTCTCTTCTAACCTCTTCTGTCAGGCAGAAGATATAGAAGCTTGAACACATGCACTAACAGATTGAAGAACAGCTTCTTCCCTGCTATTAATAGACTGCTGAATGGACCTCTCTAATTTCAAATCTAACGCTGACCTTGCTTTTGTGCTTCTCCTGTGCAGTCGTAACTTGTATGCCTCGCTCTGCCTAAGCAACCTATGATCTGTAGGTCCTTGTTTGCTATGATCTGCCTGTATTGCTCGCAAAACAAAACTTTCCACCGTACTCAGGTACACATGACAATGATAAATCAAATCAACATATTTAATGGGCAGTTAAGAGTCAATCATATTACTGTGGACCTGGAAGTCAAAAGTGGGCCAGACTAGGTAAGGATGGCAGATTTCCTTCCATAAAGGGTATTAGTGAACTAGATAGGTTTTTATGACATCCAATGATAGTTTCATGGTTATCATTGGTGAGCCTAATTTTTATTTCCAGATTTAATTGACTGGATTGAACCAAAGCACTAACCTGAACTTCTGGATTACTAGTCCAGTAACATTATCACTACACTGTCTATTCCAGTGCACCGATTTCAAAATCCTCACTTTCATATTCCTACACTGGCTCTATCTTTTCATTCTGCTCCACCAATAGTTCTGCATACATGTTTCTCTCTTCCATTTCTGCTGTTACAAATTTCCTCTATTTGTTTAACACTCTTATTTAAGATGTTCCTTAAAATGCACATCTTTCACCCAGATTTCATTCTTCTGAACTAATATCGTTATATATGGCTCAAAATCATATATAATTCTTAATACTTCTATGAAAAGCTTTGGAATGTTTTATTACATTAAAGGCACTATGTAAATATAATCTGTTGCTGTTATGATTGTAGTTATGTTTGAATCAGGTCTCAGATCAGAAAGTACAGATGCATTAAGTAAAAATATGAAGTGTTGCATGATACTTTTTATTTCCAATTACTAAATTTTATTCCCTGCCCCAAAATCTGATGAATCATCTGCACTTTCTGTGACCCACACTTGATTGTCGAATGATAAATTTGTAACTTGCAGAGAATTTCCTGCTAATTTTTGACTCTACTTAAAGGGATTAGGTACATTTAATGGCATTAATATTGTAAAGGAATTCAGATAATGATTCTCAAGGCATTCTGTGGAATAAACAATCCTATGACCATTCTTTTATCTGAAGAGAAATCTGAACTTAGAACACTGAGGAAACATAAGCCTATTTTAAATTCTTCAGTCTTGTATCTTTCTGTGTCAATAGCTTACAGCCAATAAACAGTTCCAACAGTGCAACTTGGATTTATATAGAACATTCTGCAATTTTGAAACAGCTAAGTTGTATGAAATAGGAGTGGGAATCGAGTAATAGAAGGGAAGGTATCTGTAGGTAATGCTAAAAAGATAGATTTTACAGAACAAAAACAGAAATTGTGGAGAAACTCAGCAAGTCTGGCAGCATCACAAAAAGGGTCACTGGACTCAAAACGTTAACTCTGTTTTCTCTCCATAGATGCTTAATGAGGTCTTAGGGAGGGAGTTCCAAAGTGTGAAATCACTGCCACAACACGCTGACAGAGTAAACATATAACAGAGCTAAAATGACAGAGGGGAATCTGCATGCAGTAACCCGTTGGTGGAGAATATTGAAACGGTACAGTTTGTGGAAAGATTTGAAAATTATGATTTTGAAATCAATGCACTCCCAGAGGGATGGGAATCAGTGCAGACTGGAACAGAAACTGGAATTTTGTATAGCTTAATTTATGTCTGATGTAATTTGAGAACCAAGCAAGGAGCAAACATTAGGCTAGACTCAACAAAGATTTAGTAAGTCTTTATAGGGCAGTTGGAAGAAGAAGCAAAGTTGACGGGAGAATGTAGACAATCTTGGTGGTGGACAAGGTATGGGGACTGTTGCTTTCCAAATCTATATCAGCCAATTACCACCGCATTGACTTATTCTCAATCATTAGGAAAGTGATAGAGGTATTGTCGATATTACTATCAGCAGGCACTTTTCAGCAATAACTTGTTCATTGATGTTCAGGTTCGGTTCCACCATGGGCACTTGTATTTAGACCTCATTACAAGCCTTGGTCCAAATTTAGACAAAATAACCAAATTTATAAAAAGAAGTGAGTGACTGTTCTTGACGTCAAGTCAGCATCAACGAGCCCAGCAAATTTTAATTCATTGACAATTGAGAGAAGCGGAATTCTCCAATGGTTGCAGTCAAACCTAGCACAAAGGAAGATGGTTGCGACTGCTAAGGTTAGTCATCTCAGCCACAAGGTATTGCTGTAGGAGTTCCTCAGTGTAGTTTTCTAGATGAAAACATCCTCATCTGCTTGATCAGAGACCGATCCTCTAACATTATGTCAGAAATGGGAATTTTGACGCTGGTAGCACTGTGTTCAGAGTATTTGCTGAGGCAGCTCATGCCTACTTGGGCTATGACCTGGACAACATTCAAGTAGGGTTGATAGTGACAATGAATATTCAGGCCACGCAAGTGCCAGGCATGACCTTCTCCAGTAAGAGAGAATAACCAACTCACCTTAATGTACAATGCAATTACTATCATTGAAATTCCCACCATCAACATCTTCTGGAGGTCACCATTAATCAGAAACTGAAATGAATCAACTATACAAATACTGTGGCTGTAAAAGCATGTAAAAAGCTGAGAATTCTCAGTGAGTAACACATGTCATAGCTTCTCTATATATTTCTCTACAAGGCACAAATCAAGAGAATGATGGAATACTCTTCACTTGCCTGGATGAGTCCAGCTCCAACAACACTCAAGAAGTTCAAAACCATCCATGTCGAGTGGCCTGCTTTGTCATTATCCAACTGCCTCAACATTCACTTTCTCCACAGCCAACAGTATGCAACAGGAACAAGCTGTGCAGCAGCAACACAGCAAGACTCTTTAACAACACTTTCTAAACTCTTGACTTTCATTGTCTTGAAGAACAAGGGAACAGATGTGTAGGAACACCTGCAGCTGCAAGTTCCCCTTCCAAGTCCCAAGTCATCCTGATTTGGAACTTTATTGCCATTCTTCCACTGTCATTGATTTAAAGTGCTCAGCACTGGATATACCTAAACCAGTTGAATTGTAGTGGTTCAAAATGCAGCTCACCACCATGTTCTCATTGGGCATTAAGAGATGGACAATAAATGCTGACTGCTACAAATGCTTGTAGCCCACAGATGAATAATATAAAAAAAAAGGCAGAATGATCTTCAGCAGCTTCAGGGGCAAAAGAAGATGACTTCAGTCCCACAGTTAAGAACAGTCTTAAAAACGCAAAGCTTCCTTTTTGTGGAATATTTTTGAAAGTTAATCCTTTGTATACAAACAAAAATCAATGAATCGCAACATATAAATAAAAAACAGAAATCAGTCAAAGATAATATTATAACTTTCGGTTGTGGGCTATATTAAGGCTTAAATGTGCCAAGCTTTGGTTTCAGTTTCAGGTGAATTAGAAGGTTTTTACTTCCCATTTGCTTTATTACTTCTGTGTTTTAGAAAATAATGCCTGAATTTCTGACCCAGCTGAGAGACTTTCAGAAGGAGGAAAGCCCCAAGGTTGCAATGGATATAATTGCTGAGAGTGGAGCTCAAAACTGATTGAGTTTGGTTTTTAAAATACATAACTAAAATGGGAAGAAGGCTAACTTGTAGGCTGCATACATTCAGTCAGCTGTGTCTAAACGAAGAACTTAGCTTTATACGTTCAGACAGCAAGAGAAATAGTGAGTTGTTTTGAATTGGGTATGGCCAAATAGCTCAGCAATACCAAAGTCTTTTGCCAGCTATCTCCTAAACAAGCACAGCTTCAATTGGTGTTATTGACAGGGAGACATTAGAAGTTGTTGAATAGAATCATAGAATCCCTAGTGTGGAAACAGGCTATTTGGCCCAACAGGTTCACACCAACCGTCTGAAGGACATCCCACCCAGACCCATCCCCCTACCCTATCCCTGTAACCCTGCATTTCCCATGGCCAAACCACCTAGCCAGCACATCCCTAACACTATAGGCATTTTGCATGGCTAATTCACCTAACTTGCACATCTTTGGACTGTGGGAGGAAATTGGAGCAACTGGTAGAAACCCACACAGTCACAGGGAGAATGTGCAAACTCCACACAGACAGTCACCCGAGGGTGGAATCGAACCCGGGTCCCTGGCATTGTGAGGCAGCAGTGCTAAACACTGTTGTAACAACAGATGATGATTCAGGGTGAAATTCTTGTTTTCACTAACTTCAGGGATAATATAATCATGAACAACATAATCATGAACTACATAATCATGAACGTGCCACGGCTTTACACCCACCTTTATATTTCTGTTGAAATATGAAAAAAATGAACATCACATTTAAAATTCAAAGATCAAAGGATTAAAATCTCATGAAAATAATTACAATCTAACTTAATCAAGAATATATTTTCACTGTAGTAAAAAAAATTCTACTACACCTACCGCTACCAGCGCTTCCTTCTCTGCGACCACGTGCGCTGCTATCTCTGCCAGACTTCACACGCTGTTTTAAAACATAGAAGATATCATTTAATTGTTAAAAGAAAATGCATGTACTGCTGAAGCACTTCAACGGGAAGTTGGTGCCACTGACCTAATTGTGTGCTTATATCATACTGGAACCAAAAGGACCAGAATTAGTGGGCCTGCTATTCCTGCCTCTTCCTCATTATCCCACTGGATGCTCCACTCACTGGTTCCCTTGCCATTCATTGGCTTCCCCCTTCACTGTTCCCCTAATGATCCTGCCAGCCATCCCCTTCACAATTCCTTCAACACCTGGCTCACCACTTTACACAGGCAGTGGGACAGTGAGGAAGGCATGGGGTGAGACACTGGGGGCTCTTTCCGAATGCTCCTTTGAGTCAATGATTTTGTAATTTATTAAAGGGACAGCAGGCTGCTATATGAAATAAACTTTAAGTTTGGAGTCATTATATCAGTTCTGCAGTGACATCACAAGCATTGCAACTGCAAAGGCAGAGAGTGCGCCCCTGCAGTTGTGGTGGCAGTAAGACCATAAGACACAGGAGCAGAATTAGGCCATTCAGTCCATTGAGTCTACTCTGCCATTTGACTGTGGCTGGTATGTTTCTCTACACCATTTTCCTGCCTTCTCCCCTTAACCCTTGATCCCTTTACTAATTAACAACCTATCTCTGTCTTAACGATACTTGGCCTCCACATCCCTCTATGACAATGAGCTCCGCAGATTAACCACCCTCTGCCTGAAGACATTCCTCCTCATCTCTGTTCTAAAGGGTCATCCCTTCATTCTGAGGCTGTGCTCACAGGTCCTGGTCTCTCCTACTAATGGAAACAGCTTCTCCTTGTCTACTTGATCCAAGACTCTCAGTTTCAAATTATTCTTCTAAACTCCATCCAGTACAGAACCAGAGCTCTCGACCACTCTTCATACGACAAGCCTTTCATCCCCAGAACTATTCTTGTGAACCTCCTCTGGACCCGTCCAGTGGCAACACATCTTTCTTTAGATGCGGGGTGCAAAACTGCTCACAATATTCCAAATGTGGTCACACCAGAGCCTTATATACTTCAGCAGTTCATCTCTGTTCTGGAATTGTAGCCCTCTTAAAATGATTGCTAATAATGCATTTGCCTTCCTAACTGCTAATTGAACCTGCATGTTAACCTTAAGAGAATTCTGAACTAGGACTCCCACATGCCTTTGTGCTTCAGGCTTCTGAAACCTTGACCTGTTTAGAAAATAGTCTAAGCGTCTATTCTTCCTACCAAAGTGCACTTTCCCACATGTATTCCATCTGCCTGTGTTCTGCCCACTCGCTGAGCGTATCAAAGTCTTTCTGCAGCCTTCTCGCTTCCTCAAGACTACCTTTCCTTTCAACTATGTTTCTGTCATTTGAAAACTTAGCAACAATGTCCTTAGTTCCTTTGTTGGTGTATAACGTGAATAGTTGTGGTCCCAACACTGACCACTGCAGAACTCTACTAGTCACTGGCTACCATTCTGAAAAAGACGCTACACTTTAACCCTACTGACAGCCTTCTGACAGTCAGCAGGTCTTCTATCCATGACAGTACCTTGCCCCTAATACCACCAGCTATGCAGCCAATAAAAATAAACTTGGAGGAAATGTTTGTTATTACTGAATGATTTTAGTTTGAGGAGGTCTAGCCTTCTGACTTACTCAATGTAGATAGTGAAATGTTAGGAAGGAATTTCTCATGCTTTCACGCCTTATTACTCCATTTTCAGTAGCTCTCATCAGTTGAGCAACATTACATTGAGGCCCATTCTTTAAAAACTAACCACCGAGAAGTCCAAAGGAGATTTGACTTAAAAGCTTTTTCTGGATTAAAGATCGAGTGAACAGATTGGTTAGAAAACATACACCTACGTCAATTATTGATCAATTGATTTAGCAATTGGCTCCTATTAGGGTACAGCACCTCTGCAGCAACTACTCCTATGGGTTTAGTAAACATATATGCAGGAATTTATGAATCACATTTTCCCTTGTGAACAAAATTCAAGCAGCAATCTTGAAATTATTCACCCAAAGGCAGCAAGTACATCTGGTAATATCAACCTTGCTCCTAAACAAGTACAGATCAAAAATGGTGACAACTTAAGTCACTGAACTCATGAGAAAGTCCAGTGTGGACAAACAAAAATATCACACTAGTTTGTGACAGAAAGTTTTCATTGGCATGTTACATTGAGAAGCTGCCTTTTAGTGCATGTAGTACTTCTTTACCTGTTCTTTTAACTCTTTCATCTTTTCAACTTTCTTTAGTCTCGTGGCATATTCCTGAACTTCTTTCAGTCCCATATCGGTACAAAGGCGAACTAGAAAGCGCAAACCTAAACAGAAAAATCAGTTAAAAAGGCAAACAAAATTGATGGAAAGAACAGACAAAAAAAGACACCAGAAAATTCCTCAAAATAATTCGCTTTCCTCTGCAAAATCACATTAAACCAAAATACAGGTAGTTCTGCTATAACGCATGTTTCATTAACGCGAATTGGCTGTAACGCGATTGATGAATAGTGGATGCTGTTTAAATAATGCTAACTTTCTGCTGTACAAGTATAGTGATTTTCTACAGCAATTTCCCTGTAACGCGATCTTCTATGGCGATTTTCTGTAATGCGAGGTCACACAAGAACACAACTATCGCGTTAAAGGAGAACTACCTGTAAATATGTAAAATTATTGATATTTTATGTGCAGATGACATACTGGTTTCATTACAAAGTCAGTAGGCAAGTTTTGTTACATACTGTCCCCCATGTTTCTACAAGAACAATGCGCTAACAAAATGAAGGATAAAGAGAAATCTTCACTTTGTGCTAGAGACCCACCCTTTGCAATTTTGAAGTGGTTCTTCATATGGGCAGCCAGAAATTATGCCTGAACAAGGCATATTGAAATATTTAAGTTAGTGTCCCAAAGAACACAGCACTGAATGGCCAATACCATCTGTGTTGTAAGGGACCAACTTCCTCCAAAAAAATATAAGTAATAGCTTTGGCAAGTAATACTGGAAGAAACATGAATGCTCTTCTGAACCACACAGACAAAAAAAAAATACACCCAGATAAATTATACAGGAGAGGTTGCAATTCCACATCAACACCCACTCCACAGATATATAAGCATTGGTGTAATGGTGACAGCTTACTACTGACAATGATTATGATTAGATAAAGGATCAGGCACATACTAAAGTCATCAGGTGTATCTCAGAGATATCCTGCCAATCATCTGACAGATTAACAAGGTGTAGAGCTGGATGAACACAGCAGGCCAAGCAGCATCATAGGAGCAGGAAAGCTGACGTTTCGGGCCTAGACCCTTCTTCAGAAATGGGGGAGGGGAAGGGGGTTCTGAAATAAATAGGGAGAGAGGGGGAGGCGGATAGAAGATGGAAAGAGGAGAAGATAGGTGGAGAGGAGACAGACAGGTCAAAGAGGCGAGGATGGAGCCAGTAAAGGTGAGTGTGGGTGGGGAGGTAGGGAGGAGATAGGTCAGTCCGGGGTGGACGGACAGGTCAAGGGGGCGGGATGAGGTTAGTAGGTCGGAGATGGGGGTGGGGCTTGAGGTGGGAGGAGGGGATAGGTGGGCAGAAGGATAGGTTAGGGAGGCGGGGACGAGCTGGGGTGGTTTTGGGATGCGGTAGGGGGAAGGGAGATTTTGAAGCTTGTGAAATCCACATTGATACCATTGGGCTGCAGGGTTCCCAAGCGGAATATGAGTTGCTGTTCCTGCAACCTTCAGGTGGCATCGTCGTGGCACTGCAGGAGGCCCAGGATGGACATGTCGTCTGAAGAATGGGAGGGGGAGTTGAAATGGTTCGCGACTGGGAGGTGCAGTTGTTTAGTGCGAACCACCGTGTTCCGAGGAAGGGTCACCGGACCCGAAACGTTAACTCTGTTTTCTCCTCCACAGCTGCTGCCAGACCTGCTGAGCTTTTCCAGCAATTTTGTTTTTGTTCCTGATTTACAGCATCCGCAGTTCTTTTGGTTTTTATCTGACAGATTAATGTATAAAAATTGCCACAAGGCAGTTTTGCTCTAGATTAAAATAATTTACATGGGTGTTTTCTAAACTAACATTTGGGGAATCAAATGTACAATATATGCACTCACTTTTAAGGTATAGCTACATAAAATGTCCATTATAATATTAGGCACAGTAAATGTCCAATAGGAAAGTCTTCAAAGCATTCATCTGCTTTAAAACACAGTAAAGATGTGTCAAAATGACAAACAGATTCTCTGACAATCAGCAATTGTCTATTTTGAAAAAAATTCTTACATTCAGCATTTTCAGGAAATTTCTGATGAATGTCTTTGTAGGTTTCCAATGCCTTTTGATAGTTACCTGTAGTAATAAAGGAAATCATTGATGGCTATTTTAATTACAAACAACTTCATAAATATAGGAATTAACTCTCTGAAAATTAACACAAAAGCATCCGTCAAGTTAAAAATTGTGTGACTCTTTTACCTGACCAAAATATTGTCAATCCCACAACAATGTCAAAAACTGTCTGGCCCCACATAAAATTTTAAATTCTCATCCTCTTTTTCAAATTCCTTTCACCTCTTCCCTCCAATCTCTTTAACCTCCTTCAGTTCTCTAAACCTCTCTATTACTTGTTTGGCTACCTTGTTTTTTGATCCCTCCATCAGAAGTCATGCTTTCAGTTGTCTAGGCCAGGACGTATCAAAGAGGGGACTGGGGCCCCAAGTGGCACTATGTACTTAAATTCTGGTGTTGCAGACTTTAAGGAAGCAACAGCCACTCCCATCCCTGCTCTAATGGGTCTTCCCATCTCCCTCTTACTACTCACCAAAGGTCACAACAGTTTTCAGGGCTGAAATTGGGAAGTATGGTCCAACCTCCAAGTTCTAGAATCCTCTTCTAATACATTCTAACTTGCTATCTCCTCTTTTACGATGCTCTTGAAAACATACATACTTGAAGCTTTTGGTCACCTAATCTGATTAGCTACTCAGTACCTCAATCTCAAATTTTGTGTTAAGTTCTTCGAGGCATTTTTCTACATTAAAAATTATACATAAATGTAATTTGTTATTGTTGTAACTTTGTACATAGTAAACTATCACAACATAATATGTGCAATTGGAAAACTCTAAAGATGGTCCACGGGTGTCTTTAAATGAAAACTAGGGAAATTAGTCAATCAACAATCTTCAAAATAAAACTTCATTTTTTCTTTTTCTTGATCCATTACATTCTCTGTTTGTCCACTGTTTCCACCATTAGCATGTGCACCTCCTGTGGCCAAAAGGCTGAGGTGGACAACTGGGTCTTAGCCTCATCAACAGGGGACAGTAACAGCAGCCTGATGGGGACTATTAATTAAATTTTTCATCTCCTAACAGGATATGCATGGTTTCTGATTAGGGCACCCTTGTGCATCCAGCTAGAAAAAACAGTCAGCTTTGTTGGGAAATTAAAAAGATAAACTTCTATTCCTTGGCCCTTGGGCTGTCATGCATAAGGAAAGCTACCACCAGCTCAATGTCCTAATTCTCCTTTTGTTTACTGGGGCAGCATTTATTGCCCATCTGTAGTTACCCATGTGAAAGTAGTGGTGAGCTGCTTTCTTGAACCACTGCAGTCCATGTGCTGTAGACAGACCCACAACACTGCTAGGGAGAGAATTCAGCATTTTGACCCAGTGACACTGAAGAAATGGCAGTCTATTTCCAAGTCATAATGATGTGTATCTTGGATGGGAACTCGCATGTGGTGGTGGTATTCTTATGTATCTGCTGCCCTTGTCCTTCTAGATGAAATTAGTCATGGGTTTGAAAGGTGCTGTCTAAGGAGCCTTGGTGAATTGCTGCGGTGCATCTTGTAGATTGTACATATCACCGCTACAGAGTGTCAGTAGTGGGGGGAGTGGATGCGGTGTCAATCAAAACAGGCTACTTTGGCCTGGACGGTGTCCAGCTTCTTCAGTGTTGTTGAAGCTGCACTCGTCCAGTCAAGTGGGGAGTATTCCATCACACTCCTGACTTGTGCCTCATAGATGGTGGACAGGTTTCGGAGAGTCAGATGAGTTACTCACTGCAACATTCTGAGCCTCTGACCTACTCTTGTAGCCACTGTGTTTACATGGCTACTGGTTAATGACAGACCCCAGGATGTTGATAGCAGGGGATTCTTTGTGTAAGACTGTTCTCAAACTCCATTTTCTCAGAACCTATCATGTCACCTCATCACCTGCAACAATTGTGCAAAACACAGCATGCCAGAATGATGTGGCACACTCTCTCTGGAGGACTCCCCATTTCAGTCCAAAAACTGAACTGCATCTTCCGATGCCCTATCATCTGCTCCACTGCATCCCTGGTTGCAGCATATGCACCAACTTGGTGAAGGTGTCACACTGGCTCAGTAATGAACACACATTACGTCAGAAAGGAATTGTCTTCTGCTGTTTACACCTCACTTGGGTAGCACATTCGAAATCAAGATTTGCAATTCCCAGAGACATCACAAAATTTAAAGATAGTAAACAGTATGAATAATTCCCCTCGATCCTAGTTGACAGAAAGCATGGATCAGATTTCTGTATTAACAAGAGGTATTATTTACTACAAATTAATTGATTCTAACTACAGATAAATAATTATGAACCGTCAACATATAACACTACTAGTTAAAACTCATCCACTTATAAAACCCCTCCTACACACATACACACAGAATCAGGGAGATATTAAAAAAGGGTTTATGGGTTGATGGAAAGACCAGGGAGGCAGTTCAGGATTTGATGAGATGATCCCTCTGTTGATAAGAATGCTGTATCTTGATTTTCCTTCTCCAGATATTTTCACCTGATTGCAGGAGGCACATGATGACCAGTTCAAAATTATATATATATTCTATTAAATTATGTAATTAGATATTCAAAAATTTCTGACATATTAATTAATTTGTATCTTAAACTGGCTGTGTTCAGGCTTGAGATACTTCTAACTGCAGAGCTCTGCATTTGCTGTTTCCTTTCCAGAGGTGCAATTGATGCTGCCTGAACATTCAATCCCCCAAGCTGTTTGGCAACCTGGGAACCACTCACACAGCTGCTGGCAGGTAGGAAGACTTTGTCATTGATAATTGGTCACTAATCTACAAACCAATCAGCTCACAGTGCTGGTCAAATCTCCGTGCCTACACAACCCCCTAGCTTCAGCTCATCTGTAACCTGGTTTTCTCCACTGCTTGAAACAGCACTTATATTGAGTGTCATGTAATATGCTTTTAAACAGTGCAGCAATCCTTCAAAAATCTTTGCTTTTTAAACCAGGATTTTCCTGTTTTAGGCCACAATCAACATACAGAAAAAAATACAAACTTTACAGCTGTGCTCCCATCTCTTTCCCATCTCAGACATACATCAACAATGACACTTATCACTGAATTCAGCAAAGTCTAACACCATACATATATATGAAGCAGCAATGTTTCTCTTGTTCCACAGCACCCTTGGAAGTTTCACAAGTGGAATAATAGACAAGCTGAATATTATTTAAATGAAGAAGGACTGCAGAAAGCTGCAGAACAGAGGATCTGGGAGTCTTCGTCCATGAATCAAAAAAGCTAGAGGCCAAGTTCAGTGGGTAATAGGGAAAGCAAATTAGCTATTGGCTTTTATTTCAAAGGGAATAGAGTAAAAAAGTCAGGAGATTTTGCTAAAACTGCACAAGACACTAGTCAGACCATAGCTGGAATATTGTGAACCCACTTTGGGCTCCTTATCTGTGAAAAGATACACTAGTTTTGGAGGCAGTCCACTGAAGATTCACAAGGTTGATCCCATGTATGGAGGAACTGTCTTATCAGGAGAGGTTGACTAAAGTAGGCCTGTACTCTTTGGAATTTAAGAGAATGAGAAGCAATCATGTTGATATATACAAGATTCTTGAAGGAACTGACAGGGTAGATGCCAACAGACCGTTTCCCCTTCTGGAAGAGTCTAGGCCAGAGGCAGAATTTCAGAATAAGGGATCACTGATTTAAGACAGGTGGGAAGTGAATCTGCAGGATTATTTTCTGTACAAAGGCGTCAAGGATGGATCGTTAAGTATATTCAAGTAAGGGAATCAAGGGTTATGTGGAAAGGCAGGAAAGTGGAGTTGAGGGTTATCAGATCAGCCAAGATGTCAATGAAGCAACTTTATTGGGCTGAATGGCCTACTTCTGCTCCTAAGCTACATGGTCTTATGGTTAAGTACAGCACATCCGCTGGCTTTCTATGCATAATGCATCACTTTCACAAAGAACGTAAATAGAATCACAGCATCCTTACTGTGTGGATGCAGGTCATTCAGCCCATTGAGTCCACATCAACCCTCCATAATGCATCCCACTCAGACCCACCCCTCTCTACCCTATCCATGTAACCCTGAATTTCCCATGGCTAATCCACTTAGCCTGCACAGCCCTAGACATTATGGACAATTCAGCATGGTCAATCCACCTAACCTGCACATCTTTGGAACAGGTTGTCAAACGTGGCTTCCCTTTCACAATACCATATGGATTCTCCCTTATTATTTTGAACTTGTTGCACTACCCTGTTGCACCTTGTTTTATAACAGCTTCAAACATTTTCCCCATGTCAGATTTTAAGCTATGTGGTCTGTAGTTTCCAGCTTCCTGTCTCGCTCCCTTTTTGAATAAAGGAGTTACATTTGTTATCCTCCAATCTAATGGCTCCATCCCAAATCAAAGTAGGTTTCAAAAATAAAACCAATACATCAACTATCTTGTTGGCTGCTTTTAAGATTCTAGAGCGAAGTCCATCAACATCTCAGCTTTCATTATTCAGCTACTTCTTGACGCCGTCTGGAATTTTTTTAGTTCACAGGACATGGGTGCCGCTGGCTAGGTTGGCAGTTATTGCCCATCCCTTATTTTGCCCAGAGGGCAGTTAAGAGTCAACCTCATCGTACAGGCCTGGAGTCACATGTAGGCCAAATAAGGTGAGGATGGCAGATTTCTATTCCTAAAAGACATTAGTGAACCAGACAGATTTAATGACAATTGACACTGGCTACATGGTTGCCATTTGACTAGCTTTTAATTACAGCTTTTGAACATCTACCTTGGTAGGATCGTAACCCTAGAACATAGTCATGGATCACTAGTCCAGTGAAATTACCACTGTGCCACCTCCCCTACTTAAAATTAACTAAAATAAACTGAATTGGCTGATGACTAGCACCTGAAATGGGACAGGCCTCAGTCGCAGATGGACATAAAGATGTCCAAGATGGTCAATGATAACTGCAGTGCAGTCTTTTTCATGTGCGTGCTGGTCTGTAGCTTCACCAGGCTGGCATCCATTTTTAGATATTCTTGGTGCTGCTCCTGCTTGCCTTCAACATATTTACTAAAACATGTGAAGCTATTTTCTATGACATGACGTCAAACCTCTCCACTGAACCAAGGTGACTTGGTGGTAATAGTGGAGTAACAAGTATGCCAGCCATGAGTTACAGATCGTAGGAAAATACAAAAAAATACAATTCTGCTGCTATCGTTAATTCATAGCACCATCTGGAAACCCAGTTTTCAGTTACTGGATTTATTCTGAACTTATATTTAGCACATTGATAGTGCCAACAACATAATGATTTAAATTAACGTTTAAAATGGAGTTGAGGAGATATTAGGATTGACAGTCTTTGCAATGTTCTTCTCCAGAAAGCAATGGAAGCAGGGTCACTGAATATTTTTAAAACTGAATCAGATGGACTCTCATTTCAATCGAGAATCTAAGAGAAAAGACAATAGGCAGGAGTGGGAAGTTGAGACCACCATAAAATCAGCTATGATTTTACAGAATGGTGGAGCAGGCTCAAAGGACAAAACGGCCCATTCCCATTCTAATTCACTTTCCTCTTACATTTGTATACAGAACTGGATGGTGGTCATATCCTACGAATACTCTTATGGTTTGTTGCATCTATAACACGTAGATTGGTCAGAACAAGATTGTGTTGGTTCTTTTACACTTGCTGCCTGTTAGTTCAATCTGGCAATTATGTCTCCAAACTTAAGCAGTTATGGTGTTACCAAGCAGCTCTTGAAGTAAATTTTGCTGCTGCTTCTTCACCAGCTTAGGGACGGTAGTAAATCATTACCAGCAAGAGATTTACTTATCTGTTTCTTCTGATGCTATCATCATGGGGTGTGGAGTCAAAATTGTGGATTCTCAAGGCCAGTCTCTCCTAATTGTCTACCAATTGTGGGAGAATCTAGGACCAGAGGGCCTAATCTCAGAATAAGGGGTTATATATTTAAGACACTGAAAAAGAATTTCTTCTCTCAGAGGATTGTGAATCTACAGAATTCTTTACCACAGAGGGCTGTTGAGGCTACATTGTTAATTGATTGAATCATTTATTATCATGTGTATTCAATATAAAGTAGTGAAAAGTGTGTACGTCACCATGCATAGACGCCATTCTCACTAACTTAAAATAAAATAAAAATAAGATAATTTAACCAGAGTCCAACATTTCCTTCTTTGCTGCTACAGTCCCGCTTCAGGCTACAGCAGCCCACGCCATGCCACTGCAGAGTCTCCCCTCTAGGCTTCACCAGCCCATTCCATGCCACCACCAGAGTCCAACTCCTGGCTTCACCAGCCCACACCATGCCACTGCCAAAGTCTCACTCCAGTCTACATCAGCCCATGCCATGCCACCGCCACAGTTCTGCTCCGGTTTCTGCACAGTTCTGCTTCACTTGGAAGCAAGAGTCCGAATCCAGGCTTCACAGGCCGGCCAACTCTGTAGCCACGCTGCCTCTGAAGACGGCGCCATTGCTCTGGAACCCATCGAAGCTGCCTTCCTACCGAAGAGCTCTCTTCATAAGATAAGTATATTCAAGGGTGAGACAAACAGACTTTTAACCAGTAAGGGAATTAAGGGTTATAGAGAAATGACAGGAAAGTGGAGTCGAGGATTTTCAGATCAGTCATGATCTCATTGAATGGCAGAGCAGATCTGATAGGCCGAATAGTCTAATGCTGCTCTCGTGTCTTATGGTCTTACATCTGATGGTGGTATTGGGCATGCAGAGCATTGATAGGGAGGTCCAGAGTCTTGACTGAAGATATGAGTCTTCGACTTTTACTTGAATAGTCTGTGGGACAGTTCTGTCCCCCAACTTTGGCACCGTTGGTGAAGGTAGTGGAGGATTGACTCAGGCGATGTGTATCTTTGTTTTGTCCAATGTCCATGTTAATACTGCTAGTCTGTCGACTTTTATTTTTATTAGTCTTTATTGTAGTGGTTTGATACAATTGAATGACTTGCTATGAGAGGTTCAAAAGAGCAGTTAAGATTCAACTGTATTGCTATATGTCTGCACTCATATGCCAGGCAAGCTGATTAGGTCAACAGATTTCAGATGAGTTTTCACAATGCTCCAGTAATTTGTGGTTACCATTAACCATGACTGTTTCTTTCTTAAAATTCCAAATTAATGAATCATTCACACAATTTAAATTGTGTAAAGAACTGTCTTGGTGGGATCTGAACTCCTGTCTCTGGGTTATGAATCCAGTAACACAACCATTACATACTGTACAATTTCATTAGTGTTATATCATTCAAGCCCCAAGTATTACTTTATGCCTTATAAATTTTTCTGTTCAGCATGATGTTAAATGAAAACATATTTCTAACTTTCCTTAGTTTTGATGACATTTTTGTTTGAGACATTTAATGTATTTTGAAACAAAATATTTCGACTCTGTGAAATATAAACAAGAATCTGGTGCTTAACTTACCACTTCTCCGATAACAGCTAGCCACCATTAATTGCCATTTGACTTGAGTAGGTCTGCATTAAAAATATTGTAATAAAGCATTATTTTCAAAACCAAAGAAGAAATATTACTTGCTTTTACACAGTTTCAATTATAAACACAGCCTCTTCAAAGTTTTAAGTACTTTTTTCAAACTTCCCATCTTAAATCTACTGTATTATACTTTCCCACCACGATCTTCAGTTTAGGATTCCTTATTAAAAAGCAGAGAGTATTCACCATTTCTTAGGTATCAGCATCTTGGTATGCTGACTAGTGCATAAAGTAGAAAGTGGAAAGGTAATTTACCATTTGATCTTCTCTCGCTCCTTTTGGTTCAAATATTTTACCTGATACCTTACATAATTCCCTGCTAAGATGCAAAGCACACTGCGTGGGGGATAAATATATATCATTACTTTCTCAATCCTGTTTGGCACTGTGTACACCAGTGTAATGTTTAACAATTGCTTTAAAAAACAAATCAATCAGAAATTTAGCATTAAATAAATGTTAGTATCTGGAAAGTTTCTAAGTAGCAAATCTCTATTGCTTAAAAGAAAATTTATGATTACCATCGAACCAAAATGCGTGATTCTACGCTTTATACAGGAGCTCTAAACTGCATGTTTAAACCTAGCACTGGGAAATTGCACAGTAATGCCACTAAAATGCATTTGCCATCAACACAAATATTAACACAGCATCTTCATAGTGAGGCAAAACATTTAGCAAATTTGTAAAGTTAAGTTATTCATTAACTTTCTTCTAATAATTCAGTAATTAATGTAATCAGAAAGATTAATGTTTCCAAGCTAAGAAGTAAAAATAATTTTAAAGGAAGTCAAGGTTCTCATTCTCAAACAATTCATTGAATGCAAATGTTTCAGTGTCATTTGGGGAGAAGATGAATCTTTGGTATGAAGCTTTCTGAATCTCAGTGAAGACTGTGGCTCAGTGATAACATTTCTATTTTGGAGTTAGAAAGCTGTGGGTCCAAAAGCATTCCGGGACTCCTGCATTATCTAGACTGAGGCACCTCAGATTAGTCCTGGGGAAACTGCATAACTATCAAAGGTTTTTCAGATGTTATATCGTTAGCCTGTTTAGATAAGCATGATAAATCTCTTTTGAAAACCATTAGTTTCTATGTGTGATAATCAGGGAAGCCAGCTCTCTTTAGTGGCTACATCTTGTCACACCTAATAATGAAATACAACACACAATATAAAAAATAAAATATTTCTTACTGGATAAGTGCTGCCCTTTCAAAGTACTGAATCGCTTTTTCACAGAACTGTGTGTCAATGTAGTAGGCTCCAAGCCATTCAATGCCCTCAATGTTTGATGGAAAATACCTAAATGACTGACAAAAATAAAGGGAAATAAAACAAGGGGTTATTCATGGATAACATTATGTGTCCATTTCAAGATTATCCAAATGCTTCCTCACTGAGATTTCTTTTTAATTTTCTCAAGGATGCAAGTTTGAATTTAATGAATGTCAACGTAATATCTTGAAAATCACACTGCCTATTTACCAAAACAACATCTGGTAAAAAAAAATTAACATTTGCTTCAAAAGTACTTATTAAACAGTCTAAATTAGATGTCAAGAATTTTAAAAGAACATATAGGGGACAAAGGCTTCAACCATGTAACTACATGGCAGCAAAGCAATCTAAGGGATTTTGACAGGCCAAAAGAAAAACACTTATTTTCATTTCAATCTTAAGATAGGTTAATAGCCTTAAAATCACCAACAACGTCAATTGTTTGAAATAACATTTGGGTCACTAAGTTTTGCAGGTGTTCTCTATAACTGCAAATAAGGCATCCATGTTTATTCTGGCCCAGACTCAAATCCCCTGTTCTATATTTTGGGGATGATATCGTCTCTGGGCTACGATATGTTACTAATATATAGGAATGTGCATCAGTACCATATTCTACAATTGGCCCTCACTGACAGGTGCCATATTTATGTTGAGTCTTTACAATTATTGTTTTATTACTGTTGTTCTCCATATCACAAAATCATGTTTGCATCTAATCTATAAATGAACATTATGATTTGCTGTTACTGTCCTACTTTATCCCCATAACCCTGGACAGTAAAAGCACTGCTGTAAAATAAAACATTTTGTCAAAGCTTTCAGTTTTTCTCCCATTAAGATATTTGTGAGAATATCAATGGTAAAGAAGAGTAACATTTTATACTGTCCAAGACTGGTGCTGTCAATTTTACTTTGATCGGTAGAGGTATTGTCATGGAGAATGTACCATTTGGATGATGACTAACAGTTAAGAAGTTTTGAATAAATTTAAACAAGGCAGATTGATTATAATTAGTCAAGGCATTATGCCAGAGAATGGCTGATGATTATAATGTTACACTGTACCAGGCTCAAAGTGTGTACATGTTCTTTGTGTCCGCAAAGAACAGGGCTCTGTAATATACGTAGCTTCCAGTATGTGCGATTGTGCCACACTGTGAACCCAAGTGATAATCTTAAACCACAGAGATCTAATGTTGGATACTGTGGTTTGAGTTTTGCAAGCATAGGCTAATGGGAATAGTCAGTATCTTGCCTGTTGCTTGCAGCTTAAAGGACCTTCTGTTTGGCGTAAGCTGCCAGTCTTTGGAACACATGACCTACAGTCCTAGCATACACTGGCACTGAAATTCATACATTACATGCTCATTTATCAGAAAGGCAGAACATAATTTTGGCTTGACGGCAGCATCCTATTACTGGCAAACACCACTTGTGTTGCTATTGCACAGCACCTTCAACTACAGCTCAAATTTTTAAGATACTGTACCTTTCCAGGGTAATCTGTTCATTGTCCAATATGAGATGTGATTTGTGATTCAGCAACACTTGCCAAATAATCCTGAATATGCTAAGAATTATGGCGACAGACTTGCAACAAGCCAAACTCACATGCTGGAAGCTACAAATATTAACTTACAGTGCCCTGTTCTTTTTGGACATAAAGAAAGTAGATACATATGGAGTCTGTTTCAACTTAACAAAATAGGCGACAGCCATTCTTGGATTCATTCTTCAGGGCATTGCCTTGACCAGTTAGTCAACTTGCCAGGTTTAAATCTAATCAAAGCTTGACTGTTAACTGTTAGTCATCATCTAACTACTGCATTTCCAATGCTAATACCTTTACAAATCACAGTAAAACATGCTAATCAATCAGCACTCTCTTCTCATATAGCATAAAATGTTGATCTCCTTTACATTGGTCTTCTTGTGAATGACCTGATGAGTGCAGAATGCAAAACTCCAAAAAAAATGTTTTTCAATAATTGCCAAGTTCTATACTACTAAACAACCATTTGCATACCACAGTAAAATTCATAAAATTTTAAATCTTATAGGATTCCTGTAAGTCTGCCACTGGGAATTCAAATATCTTTTTAAAAAGTTATCAATTTCTATGGGGATCGTAAAAGAGGTAACAAAGACAAGTGGCTTTAGAAAAAAATTCTGGCAAACAGTACAGACAGCAGTTCACAAAATTATATCATAAATACTGGCTTTACAAAATGTTAATAAAGATGAATGCTAGTTCTAAAGGATTTTAGTCCTTGTAATTTATATTTCTGTTCTGAGTGAATGGGAAAACTTATATCATTGTCTGTTTTGTTGTACACATATGTAATAGTTTCTATTTACAGTCTAGGGTAGCCATGATCTTAACATGTATTATGTTAACATATGTATTACATACCTTGAACAATTTTGTGGCCCACTCTTAATTTGATAATTCATTTACACCAATGGTTTAGCAAATGGTTATAAAGAAAATCCACAGGGTGACCATTGTTAGTTAAATACCTCATAATAATATTGGAAAGCCTGGGACTTGTCTCCTTCATTGTCATACAGGTCCCCTAATTTAGCCAGTGCCTGTGGGTCAGTGGGGGAAACGCTAATCAACTGCATGAGCCACTCAATAGCTTGAGTCAGATCTTCCAACATTTCATATCTCAAACAATGTGAGTCAAGGATCAGATTTTCTTTCAAAGTGATAATTTCTACTGTCACAAATACACCTTGCAATTCTTCTTGTACAGTTTGATATTACTATCACTTTCTGCTAAATAATATAATAGTAATAACATAGAACCCATGATCATCAGTCTGGATGTGGTAATAAAATAACTTTTAAACTGTTGTCCATAATTACATTAAGTTAAGCAATAATAACAAAATGTAAGTAAGTGGATTCAACCAGCAACTGGTAATGAACAGCACGAGCAAAAAATCAACAAGCAAGCAGCAGCAAATACTGGAAACCTAGAAGTACAAGAAAATGTGGGAAACATTCTGCAGTCAGATAACAAGAAGTTTGATGAGACTGGAGGCTGGGACAATTGAGGCCAGTGATGGGGAATTTGCAGAATACAAAGACAGACATGAAGGGTTATTCAAGGCAGTTGAGAGGCAGGATTATCTGTTGAAGAAAAGGATGACAGATAGACTAAAATAATAAGACTACAAGGAATAAGAATAGGAGTAGGCTATTCCACCTTTAGAGCCTGCTCCGCCATTCAAGAGATCTCAATCTTAAATTGCCATCCCTTTATTCTGAAACTATGCTCTCTAGTTCTAGACGCTCCCATGGAGGGGAAACGTCCTCTCAGCATTTATACGGTCAAGCCTTCTAAGATTCCTATACGTTTCAAAGTGATCAAATCTCATTCTTCTAAACTCCAGTGAGTAGGGTCCCAACTTGTTTAGCCTCTGCTGAAAAGACAATCCCTCTAAACCAGGAATCATCCCAGGGAACCTTCTCTGAACTGCCTCCAATGAAATTATATATTACCTAAGTAAGGGGACAAAAACTACTTTTACTCCAGATGTGGTCTCGCTAACACCTAGCATAGTTGCAGTAACACTTCCATACACTTATACTCCAACCCCTTGAAAATAAGGGCCAACACTCCATTAGCCTTCCTGATTACTTGCTTCACCTGTGTACTAGCTATATGTCGTGTACAAGTGTCCCCAAGTTACATTGTGTTGCAACTTTCTGCAGTTTTTCTCCATTTAAATAATGCTCTGTTCTTTTGTTCTCCCTTCCAAAATGAATAATTTCACTTTTTCCCACATTTAACTCCATTTGCCAACTTCTTGCCCACTGACTTAACCTACCAATATTGCTCAATAAACTGTTTTTATCACTTTCACAACTTGCCTTTTCTTGTATTTTTGTGTCATCTGCAAATTTAGCTACAATACATACACTTCCTTCCTCCAAGTCATTAATACGTATTGTAAACAGCTGTGGTCTGTTCTTTTCACATGTTCCTATTACTTGTTGATTTGCGTGGCTATGGTTTGACGTCTGTATTACTTCTACCAATGTCTTCTTTCCCTTGCTGTTTTTTCACTTCCACCTAAATGGATTCTACATCAAGCCTATGTTGTCTCTCTCAATTGTCATCATTACATCTCTTATTAATAGTGCTACCTCACCATCTTTTCCATCCCTCCTGTTTCTCCGAAAAGTCAAATATCTCTGCATGTTAAGTTCCCAGTTTTGATCTCCTTGTGACCATGTTTCCGAAATGACTATGAAATTGATTTGTGCCATCAGTTTGTCTATTTTGTTCTAAATGCTTTGTGCATTCAGAAACAAACCCTTTAAGTCTGTTCTATTATTCAATTTCCCCACACTTTTACGGTTCTTGGCACAATATGACATTCATATGTCCGGTTCCCTCCTCCTATTTTCTGGTAAGTATAAGACCTATCGCTAACCTGCAATCCTACTTTCCCCTGTACCTTTGATTTTATAATTTTTCCACACAAACGAACCCTCCACTATTTAGTTTGAAGCCATATCCAAAGCCCTAGTTATGAGATTCCAACAGGACCCTGGTCCCAGCATGATTCAATTAGCTCGTGGCTCACGTAGTTAAAAAAATCCAGATAGTCATACAGCAAGGAAAGAGTCCCTTTGGTCAAACTCATCCATGCTGACCAGACATTCCAATCTAACCTAGTCCCATTGGCCAGCATTTGGCCTATATCCTTCTAAGCTCTTCCTATTCATATCCCCATCCTGTTGTAACTGTAACAGCCTCCACCACTTCCTCTGGCAGCTCATTCCATTCATACACCGCCTTCTGCGTGAAAAAGTTAACCAGGTCCTTTTTAAATCTTTCCCCTCGCAACTTAAACCAATACCCTCTAGTTTTGGACTCCCCCACTCTAGGAAAAAGACCTTAGCTATTCACCCTATCCATGCCCCTCATAATTTTATAAACCTCTATAAGATCACCCTTCAGCCTTCAATGCTAATGGGAAAAAAATTCCCAGTCTACTCAGCCTCTCCCTATACTCAAACTCTCCAGTCCTGGCAACATCCTGGTAAATCTTTTCTGCATCCTCTCAAGTTTAACCTATAGAAGGGCAATGAGAATCGTATGCAGTATTCTAAAAAATGGACTCAAAAATGTCCTGTACAACCACAACATGACAACCCAACTCCCATACTCAATGTGCTGACCAATGAAGGCAAGCATGCCAAACACCTTCTTAGACTCTTGGTGATGTACAACGTGGAAACAGACCCTTCAGTCCAATGCGTCCATGCTGACCAGATATTCTAAATTAATCTAGCCCCATGTGCCAGTATTTGGCAAATATCCCTCTTTTATAAAGCAGAGGTTGACCCCCGTCTGATAACTAAAACCAAAACACCCAGAGAGGAGCGCCTCATCCTATAATCTGTTAAAAGGAGTATGAGGTATAATCTGTTTTTTCAACAACTTCTCGTGGGGTTAACTGAAATAATCCCCAACACTCACTTTACAATCAACAAGTAACAAGTTATTTATCTAATTCTAAGTGAAAATATTAACTAAATTATTAACAAACCAATTAAAGCCCCTTCTAACTACTATCTACTCCCCACAAGATTCTAATGGTATGCTGTTCCAATAAATATAAGTTCCATTTACATAAAACAAAAACAATAAAAATTTAATTTGGTCTCTCCAAACTACAACCAGGTTATGTGTCTTCCGGAACGTTCGGTGCCTTCGTTGTCGAACGTTCAGTCAGGAATGCCTTCTCCGTCAAATTATTCTGTTCAGGAATATTAACAAGTTGTGCCATAGGTAGCTTTGATTTAGATGGTGCTTTCTCTAAAACTTAGAGAAAACTGTGACGGCTAACAATTCTCTCTTGAGAGCTGAAAGCTGTTAACTCTTGCAGATGGCAGTTCGCTCTCCCTTGTCTTTGCCCAACTGCCCCTTCTTTTATACCCTTGGTGACATATCAGTATTCTTTACAGTAGGATTGGTCCTATGTTGTCAAAACCATCTGATTTAAATTTAATTGGTTTTTTGGTTTCTGGGTGCTGGGTTCAAATTAAGTGTTGTCTTGATGACAATACAAAACTGCTGCTTGGCCTGCTGACAGTACAGCCTTTTGATACAAATGTTTCAATTCAGGTGCTCTGTGCACCTGCAAACCCAAAAGCTGCTGCCAACAGACAACCTTTTCTGAAGCATCGAAATAGCACATCATCTTTTAAAGGGACCATGTACTGCTTTCCCCCTCCAGCATTTTACAAACACCAAATTCTAACACCTGCCTTCCAATCCACAAATACTCCACCCAGCTTCGCAACAGCTCTAAATCCTTTCTATTCATATACCCATCCAGATAACTTTTAAATGTTGTACCAGGCTTCACTACTTCCTCTGGTAGCTCATTCCATACATGCACCACCCTCAGCATGAAAAAGTCGCCCCTTAGGTCCCTTTTAAAGCTTTCTCCTCTCACCTTAAACCTATGCCCTCTAGTTTTGGACTCTCCTACCCTGGGGAAAAGAATTTGGCTATTCACCCTATACAAGCCCCTAATGATTTTATAAACTTCTTTAAGATCACCCCTCAGCCTCCAAAACTCCAGGGAAAATAGCCTCAGCCTATTTAACTTCTCCCTATAGCTCAAACCCTTCCACCCTGGCAACATCCTTGTAAGTCTTTTCTGAACCCTCTCAAGCTTCACAACATCTTTCCTAAAGCTGGGAGACCAGAACTGAACGCAGTATTTCAGAAGTGGCCTAACCAATGTCCTGTACAGCCTCAATATGACCTCCCAGTTTCTATAATCAATGCACTGACCAATAAAGGCAAGCATACCAAACCCCTTCTTCACTATCCTGTCTATCTGCGATTCATTTTCAAGGAACAATGCACCTGCACCAGTGGTCACACCAAGACCCAGCATGTCACACCTACTTCTCAATTAAATTCCTCTTGCAACGAAGACCAATACAGCATTTGGATTCCTAACTGCTTGCTGCACCTGCCGGTCTACTTTCATTGAATGGTGTACAAGGACACCCCAAGATCCCTCTGTATGTTCACATTTTGTAATAGATCACTATTCAAACAATACTGTCTTTCTGTTTCTCACAAACTGCATAAATCCATATTTAGTCATGTTATACTGCATCTGTCATGTATTTGCCCACTCACTCAACTAATCTATATCAGCTTGAAGCCTTCTTGCACCCTCCTCACAATTCACAATCCCACTAAATTTTGTTTCATCAGCAAACTTGGAAATGCTGCATTTGGGTGCCTGATCTAATTGATTTATTTATATCTTGAATAGCCATGGACTAACCTATGATCTTGTGGTACCTGAGAAGTCCCAGTTATTCTGTAGGAACAGGAAATAGATCATTCAGCCCTTCAAACCTGTTCTGCCAGTCAATGAGATTATGACTGATCTGTGGTCTGATTGCATATTTTGGCCTTTGGCACATATCCCTTAATACCTTTTATCTATCTCAGATTTAAAACAAACAACTGATCTAGCAGCAAATGCCATTTATGGGCAAGTTCCAAATCTCCACCAGTCTTTGAGTGGTCCCACTCTCTGTTTTTTATCTGTCTACCCATTCTCAATTCGTGTCAATATATGACTTTTTAAATTTACTTGTAGTATTCCGGAGATTAT